CCGAAAGAGAAGACAAGCCGAAGGACCATGACGCTAAATAGTATTCCCATGCATGGACTGAGGTGAAAGAAAATATTTCTAAGGCTAAAATAAAACCTAATAATGGGTATTACACCTCTTTGTGTATTTGTCAATTTTACATATATTTGGTATGACAGTATGTTCGTAAATATCTAGAAAAATCTCGTCTTGCGTTAATAATTTCATTTGTTTGAAATGTCTACCGACCGTGTCACAATACTTTGTTTGGAATATCGATCCCGTTGGTTTCTTCAAACGGCCCGACGTCTGTTATTCAACACAATCAGCATTTATTTATCGTAATTCATGGGGATCGTGTCCAATTTTACCAGACCGACGCCACCACAACCATCCAATCATAGTTGGAAATTTACGCACTTGTTTTGGAACTTTGTATCAAGATGACTGGTGACAACGTCGACGCACCTGGCTGCGTACATGTGTTTTGCATGTATTAGTAGTTCGGGCATGGGATCGGACTTGGCTAAAACCATGGACGTCCATGCTTAAACGAAACACAGAAAAGTACAAAATGAGGAATCTGAATTTGTTCTCTTACCAGCAAATAAAATGAGCGAAAAAAAGGTAATTTTATAACAAGAACAGTTTCATTTCAAATTGTGTTGTATTCGAACGACAATTGCATTGCATTGTGTGATTTAAATTTATCACGATTTTCCTTGCAGTCAATATGACACTCGTCACCGATTGTAATGTACTTCACAAAGTTTTTGGTGCCCAATACTCGCAACACTAAAATAATTAAACAAGATAAGTTTTTAAAATGTCATTTTACTCTTGATCATATTATTTTATTCCCCTTACCGCCTTGAATTTCAAATCGATTACATATCGAATTTCTGTACATATGTTTTTCTCTACTGCCCTTCTGTGTGCAAATAATGAGGTCATACTCATGTCACAATACTTTGAAGCTGATGCCATGTTGATGCGATGCTGAGGTGACAATGAAGCCATGCGTAGGCGACAATGATGCCACAAAAGCCAAAGCTTTTGCGAGAACTGTACTGTAGCTAGTTCAATATACTCGGTGCCTGAATACAATTACATGGCCAATAAGCTAAACCAACCTCAGTGACTAGGCATTTATTGTAAATATCTTGTAGACAGACATGAGGATTCTAGGCTAACAGTACACAGCCAAGTAAGAATTCAGGCCAGGCACCTTAACCTTGAGTTTAGTATAGCATAGCTTTGGGTGATGGATCTGATTAATTACATCTTAACTTGGAAAACTTTTCTCAATGGTATCTTTTCACTTATTAAAAAAAAAAATGGTTGGAAAACTCTCATTATGATAATTATCATTAATATTAAATAAATTTTTAAAAATAAAAAATTTAAGAAAAACAAATATTGTGAATTTCATGAATTTAAAAAATTTAAAAAACGACTTGATTAATCTGCCGATGATTAAAGAAACCCTGTAAGGACTTATGGGTAATGGGCATTACCAAATGGCTTCTACAGACAATGAAAGTGACGTCTTTGAATTTCAATGAAGTGCAAGGTTATTCCTGGGCTTATAAGTTTCATAAATATTTGAAACACAGACACAATAACTCTCACGCTTATTAATTCAAAGTAATGTTTGTCAGAAATGCTCATTGCCAATCCTTGGATCACACTTTATTAAGAACACAGACTAAAAATATATCTGACTTTACTGAAGAGTTCAAACTTTTAGAACTAGTAGAAAAATTGATTACTGTAAAATGAATAATTTTCACTGGGTTTAAATTTCACTGATTTACCGTTTCAGGCATATTCAGTGGGTTTTAAATTCACGGTTTTATCATTTAGACAAGTCATTGTCAATGACACGTCCCCGTTCCGTTCATATTTGAGTGACATATACATTCAAAGCAGATCATGACCGAAATGCACCTGCATATGTACAACACATTGTACTAAATCTGAACAAAATCCATCCATGCATGACTGAGATCTGGTTCCGAAATTGTGAAAATACGTGATTTTGATGCATTTTCGGCCTTAAAATAGCCATCATTCAGCTAT